TCTCTCTCTCTCTTTCACTCTTTCTCTCGCTCTCTCTCTCTCCTCTCTCTCTCTCTCTCTCTCTCTCGGGCACCTGTACAGAACGTCTACACCTGTCTATTAAGAACACTTCGTGCCCGAGGACAGCTTTCAGAGGGGGGGGGGGGTTCCCTTAAGTGACTCTTGCACACGAGTCTGACTGTACTCACGCTAGACCACGCCCCCTTCACCACACACCACACAGCTGTTGTCTATCCACCCAGGAACGCATCGACCTACGCCTGCCGAAAGATGCGCTCGATGCAAGAGTGCGAACGCTCTCAGCATATTGAACTCTGTAACGCACGCATCGCTTGACATGCACGCACGAAGCTGAGAATAAGATTACGCTTAGTGGATCGAGACAATTACAGAGATACCAGCTCAGCTTCCATTAGGCTGTGCGCGCGCGGATTTTCTCCAAAGCTTTTAGCTAAATGAGAAAAATGACTCAGCATTCCTACGACACGATCCTGGCAGCAGCAAAACAAACCTCAGAGACTCAACCTCTGCCTACGTACCTCTGCCTTTCTACAGACGCCGCTAGCACACGCGAGTCGCAAATCACATTTATGATTATTTTACGATTCTGCGTTCATTCGTTCTTCCCTATACCCTCGTCTGGCTGGCGATATCGCTTCTTCGAGAAAAACGCGCGTCGCCCCGAATTAACTCGTAGAACGACATCGTCGTCGTCGTCGTTCGCATCTCGCTCTCGGAACAGCTGGAGGAGAATCGTAAAGAGCCGTTCGCTACTCAGAGAGCACTCTCAGCTATCGAGTTATAAGCAGTCCCCTTCCCCTCCTCCTCCTCCTCCTCCTCCTCCTCCTCCCCTCTGCATAATTTGTTTTGCCACCTCGCCAGTAAGGGTCGCCAGTTCTGAGCCATCCGGCCTTCCATTTCAAGACTTCTACGACTGCAGGCTTGCAAGCCATGTGCTCTTAACGAGAGTGGGAGGGGGGGGGAGCTTGACAGAGTTTTGAGCCATTGCCTTCTACGACTGCACGCTTGCAAGCCATGCTCTTTATGGTGGGGCCGCCTTGGCAGAGTTTAGAGCCATTGCCATCTACGACTGCAGGCTTGGCAGCCATGCTCTCGTTATGGTGGGGCCGCCTTGGCAGAGTTTAGAGCCATTGCCATCTACGACTGCAGGCTTGGCAGCCATGCTCTCGTTATGGTGGGGCCGCCTTGGCAGAGTTTAGAGCCATTGCCATCTACGACTGCAGGCTTGGAAGCCATGCTTTTTATGGTGGGGCCGTCTTGGCAGAGTTTAGAGCCATTGCCATCTACGACTGCAGGCTTGCAAGCCATGCTCTTTATGGTGGGGCCGCCTTGGCAGAGTTTAGAGCCATTGCCATCTACGACTGCAGGCTTGCAAGCCATGCTCTTTATGGTGGGGCCGCCTTGGCAGAGTTTAGAGCCATTGCCATCTACGACTGCGGCCTAGGAAGCTATGTGCTTTTTACGGTGGGGCCGTCTTGGCAGAGTATAGAGCCATTGCCATCTACGACTGCAGGCTTGGCAGCCATGCTCTCGTTATGGTGGGGCCGCCTTGGCAGAGTTTAGAGCGATTGCCATCTACGACTGCAGGCTCAGAAGCTATGCTCTCTTTACGGTGGGGGCGCCTTGGCCGAGTTTAGAGCCATTGCCATCTACGACTGCAGGCTTGGCAGCCATGCTCTCGTTATGGTGGGGCCGCCTTGGCAGAGGTTAGAGCCATTGCCATCTACCAC